AAACATCATTGTCACTATTCAATGGTTGGATATTATAGATAAATATAGGGATTTGAGTCTAGGGGAATGGAATTTCAGGGATATTTTAAGAGAAAAATTGTTGTCCTGGTTAGAACAGCAAAGAACTTATTGGAAACAAATGGGCAATGTCAAATGGGTAACTTTAGGTGATGCTGGTACCAAGTTCTTTCATGCCAATGCCACCATCAGGCATAGGAAGAATTGGGTGAGTAAGCTCAATGATGCTACTGGTAACTCTAAAACTGAACATGCTGATAAAGAAGTGATTATCTGGGAAGCCTTCAAACAGAGACTTGGTCAATCTGACTTCAATGATATTCTCTTCGACCTCCCCTCCTTGATTCAACCAGCCCAGGGTCTTGAGATTCTTGAACAAGAGTTCTCCACTGCTGAAATTGATGAGACCATCAAAAGACTTCCAAATAACAAATCTCCTGGCCCAGATGGGTTTACAAATGAGTTCATAAAAAAATGTTGGTCCACCATAAAAAATGACTTCTATGAACTTTGTTGGGTTTTTCGTAACAACAATGTCTGCCTCCAGAGTATTAACTCCTCCTTTATCACTCTTGTTCCAAAGATTGATAGCCACCTGCATTTCTGATTACAGACCCAGTTCTCTTCTTAATTGCTCAATGAAAATCATTACCAAAATCCTTGCCAATAGGCTCCAGGCTGTAATTCCTTCTCTTATACACAAAAACCAGTATGGCTTCATAAAAAACAGAACTATCTAGGATTGCCTTGCTTGGTCCTTTGAGTACCTGCACCTATGTCACCATTCTAAGAAAGAAATCATCATTCTCAAGCTTGACTTTGAGAAAGCTTTTGACAAAATTGAGCACCAAACTATTCTAAAACTTATAGAAGCAAAAGGTTTTGGACCAATTTGGCTTAGAAGGATTAAAAACATTCTCTCCTCTGGGACCTCCAATGTGCTACTCAATGGGGTGCCAAGAAGAACCATCCACTGTAAGAGAGGGGTCAAACAAGGGGATCCCCTCTCCCCTCTTCTTTTTGTCTTGGCAGCTGATTTTCTCTAGACCATCCTAAACAAAGACAAAGAGGCCTCCTCAACCTTCCAATTCCTCTGAATTCCTCTTTGGACTTCCCTGTGATTCAGTATGCTGATGACACCCTTATTGTCCTTGAAGGTGACTCAACGCAGTTGTTTTTCCTGAAATCTGTGTTACATTCCTTCTGTGAATCCACTGGGTTAAAAGTGAACTTCAACAAATACATGATGGTTCCAATTAACATTTCTCCTAAAAAGTTTAACCATCTAGCCAATACCTTGGGTTGCTCTAAAGGATCCTTCCCTTTCACTTATCTTGACCTTCCCCTTGGGATCACTAAACCCAAAGTTGATGATTTCCTCCCTCTTGTTTCTAAGTGTGAAAGAAGATTAGCCTGCACTTCTACTTTCCTCTCCCAGGCTGGGAAACTTGAGCTCACAAATGTTGTGCTTTCAGCTCTTCCCACCTTCCACATGTGTACTCTATCCCTTCCCAAAGGAGTAATTAAGCAGATTGATAAATTCAGGAAACATTACCTTTGGAGAGGGGCAGACATAAATTCAAAAAAACCTCCAAAGGCAGCATGGGAAATGGTGTGTGTACCAAAGGAGGAGGGAGGCCTAGGTGTTATTGACTTAAAAAAACACAATGAAGCTCTACTGGTGAAAAATCTAGATAAATTCTTTAATAAGAAGGACTTGCCTTGGGTTTCTTTGGTCTGGGAGAAGCATTACAACAATGGTAAGTTACCAAGTGCCACTAAAAAAGGCTCATTCTGGTGGAGGGACATCCTCAAGCTTCTACAGCCATTTAAATCCTTCTCCATCATTCACATTCAAAATGGAAGCACTTGCCTATTTTGGGAAGACAAATGGATTCAGCAGACTTTGGAAAATGATTACCCTGAACTTCACTCCTTTGCAAAAAACAAAGTCATCTCAGTCAGGGATTTTTATGCTCAGCAACATCTCCCAGACCTCTTTAATCTGCCCTTGTCCACTGAAGCATATTCCCAAATGCAAGCAGTGCAATCTTTCCTTGAGCACTTTCCTTTAATTGATGAAGATGACAAATGGTCATCCAATTGGGGGGAATTTTCAGCAGCTAGAACCTACAGCTTTTTAATTGGACATACAGATGTCCACCAAGCATACAAATGGCTCTAAAATTGTTTTTGTCAACCAAAACATAAGGTCTTTTTCTGGTTACTCCTAAATGATAGGATTAGCACAAGGAATATTCTAAGAAGGAAGAATATGCATCTTGATTCATTTAACTATATACTGTGTAGCCTTTCAGTCGAAGAAACCTGTCAACACCTTTTCATTGATTGTCCTTTTGCTAAGGACTACTGGAGCTTGTTGGGTATCAGTTTTCAGGAATGGAGCAGACATCTTTGAATGCATATCACAGCTCAGAGGCCAATTTCATCCAGTCTTCTTCATGATGGTTGCATTTTTAATGTGCTGGGCAATTTGGTCTGTCAGAAACGATTTCATCTTCAAAAATAAGCAGCCAGAGATACAAACAACAAAGAGAATATTCCTAAAAGAGTTATCACTTCTGAGCCTAAGGGCAAAAGCCAAAGTTTCAATCACTTTTGATTTATGCATCCAGAATCTGTTGTAATATTTTTACTCTTCCTTGCCTTTTTCATTTCCTTCTTTGTTTCTTAAACTGTTTGTACACTAACTTTTTAACTCTTGTGTTTTTTTTCTTTACTCAATAAATTTCTGTAGGGGTTCACACCCTCCAGTTTCGTCAAAAAAAAAAAAAAATTATTATCTAGGGGTGGGTGGGGGGGGCGGAGTGGGGAATATCAGAGACTTTCCTTGAGGTGCTCCTCTGTGCGTAGGTCACGGAGGCCGGCTAAAGGGATAGACATCAGTGGCAGATTGGAGATGAAGACCACGAGGGTAGCAGCAACTCGATCTGATGAGCAGATGAGACAAGTTTCATGGGACTGAGATCAAGGTTGGCTTGGGGTTGTCGCCTGTGGATGTTTGACCTTCTCTGACAAGACTGAAGTAGTAATCAAGTGAAATTTGTGGGTGCCACTAGGTTCTTAGTGAAACTCCACTAGATCTATCCCTTCTCCCATATAAATATATATAGTAGATCTCCTAAAATTAACTTTTGGACATGAGGATTTTGCTCCAGAAGATTGCCAAAAACCTCTGCCTGATTTGTATCTTGACAAGGGTGCCCATATATCAGCGTTTAATCATTATATTCTTCCTTCTTCCCCTATCCTTGACCTCTTCTCTCACACACCCTGCACGCTTCCACCTCTCCTTTCTCACTCATGTGCGCTGGCAGCTGCAATGCTGCATAGAGAAAGAAATTTTATGCTGACAGTACCGCATCACGCTTTTCGTGTGAGACCGCCCCGATGATCTTCATGCGGCATCCTGACCCCAATGCGCAGTCCAGCGCCGAAACTACCTGGCGAGCGCCTAAGCTTGCTCTCCTCGCACGGGTGGGATTTGTAACATGGGTAGGATCTACATAACAACGTGGACACTTGGCGATCATCAGGGTGATTTTGCACTGTAAGTGCAGTGTGGCTATAGTCGGAGTAGGGCCCATAGGATATATAGGAGACCTCTCTATCTCTCCTTTCTTTAGGGGAGAATAGATTAATTTCGAGATATCTCCCAAAAGTTATAGGGAAAGAAGATCATATAGGTGATCTAATGGACCAGAGCAAGTATATCTCATATTTTAGCGATAAAAGAGCAAATTAGAGATTTGGTGGAGTTATTCTTAGCCTGTCGATCGATTGTCGGCCGAGCGAGCCTAATGAAAAATAGCAGTTGCTCGCGGATCCAAACGAGTGGGTTGAGTAGGACACGTGGATCCAGTCGAGTGGGAGTGTGGGACATCTAGTGAGACTGTCCAGACGTGCGCATTGGGTTCGATCACAGAATTATCTATTCTATAGCCGCCATAGAGAAGTATACTCTATATTAAAAGGAATTTTTGATGGAAATAATTGGCAGAATTAAAAGATATGGATTTTGAATAAAATCCATACTGCACTCCGCAGAAGCTCACATAATAAAATGTACGTCACTGCTGACAGAAAATTCATGCATTCGACAGGAAGCTTAAGTCATCGATGACGTGCGAGATAAAGAAAACGACCAAGCCAAGAAGCAAAAAGTGACGATTCCGCACCACGTGTGCATGTAGAAAAAAAAAACCCAGGAGAAATCGACAAACAAGGAAGAAGCGCGTCTCATGTAGCTGCAGATTGTTATCCAAATGTTTCAGTTACCTATCGAATCCTCTGAACTGTACATGTGATTGTAGCATCAGTTGAAAGAAGTTTCCCAAAATTGAAGTTGTTGAAGAACTATTTAAGATCAACTATGTCGCAAGAAAGGTTAAATAGATTGGATATGCGCACCATCGAGAGGGATATCTTGAACACTATTGATCTCAATACCGTCCTTGATGATTTTTTGCATCAAGAAACGCTCGAAGAACCATTTTTTATGAGAAGCAATTGATATTATGGAATTATATTCTTCCTTAAGGTAATCATATTAGTTTTAGTTTATATTGTTTCTCCATAATTATCAAACATGTTAAATTAAAAATATATCACTGGATTTGTTTTCGTTTTGCAAAAAAAAATTAGCACTTATACATATTATAAGATTTATATATAGTCTAGAGGTGCGTCGCGAAGAGTTTGCCCTCCGAATCTTAGGAGCGGCACTGCTGCCGGTGCAGATCCAGGAGATCCGTTTTTCACCGAATTCAATAGAAACAGTTGGCCGCTTGGGCTTTGCTTCAGCATCTGATGATTTGTCGCTGAAGCATCAGGAGTTCACGACGGACGTCGTCTACTATATATAGAGCAACACTTGCACTCTCGTACTTCCCAAGAACACCGCCATTGCAAATCTATCTGTGATATAGAATCAGCACATTCATTCACTCATTAGTTGTACCATGGCGGCGAGGTCGTCCGACCAAAGCGTCCACGTTCTTCTCCTCCCATTCCCCACACAGGGCCACATCAACCCGCTGCTCCAGTTCGGCAAGCGGCTCGCCGGCCGCAGTGGCGTCCGGTGCACCCTGGCGGCGACCCGTTTCGTGATCAGCTCGACCAAGCCGACCCCAAGCTCGGTCCACGTCGCCGCCATCTCCGACGGCTGCGACGAGCGCGGCCCCGACGAGCTAGGAGGGATGGGCTTCCCCTACTTCGAGCGGATCGAGTCGGTCGGGTCCGAGACGCTGGACGAGCTCCTCCGGTCGGAGTCGGAGGTGGGGCGGCCCGTGCACGTGGTGGTGTACGACGCGGTCGCGCCGTGGGCGCAGCGCGTGGCGAGGCGGCGCGGCGCGGCGTCCGCGGCGTTCCTCACGCAGCCGTGCGCCGTGGACATCGTGTACGCGCACGCGTGGGCCGGCCGGGTGCCGCCCCCGCCGCTGCTGTGCCCGGAGGAGGTGCTGCGGGACCTGCCCGGGCTGTCGACGCAGCTCGAGGTCGGCGACGTGCCCACGTTCTTCGCTGACATCAGGTACCCCCCGTGTTTCCGGGAGCTGCTGCTGAACCAGTTCCTGGGGCTGGACACCGCCGACCATGTGCTCGTCAACTCGTTCTACGACCTGGAGCCGCAGGAAGCGGACTACTTGGCGTCTACGTGGAGAGCCAAGATGGTGGGGCCGACTGTACCGTCGGCGTTCCTCGACAACCGACTGCCGGACGACGTGTCCTACGGCATCCACCTGCACGCCCCAATGGCGGCAGAAAGCATGGCGTGGCTGGACGCCCAGCAGGCGCGGTCCGTTCTGTACGTTTCCTTCGGTAGCATGGCGTCGCTAGGCCCGGACCAGATGAGCGAGATAGCCGAGGGCCTCTACAGCAGCGGCAAGCCCTTCCTGTGGGTCGTCCGGGCCACGGAGACTGCCAAGCTACCCAAGGGCTTCGCCGACGACAAGGCGGCGAAGGCCAGCAGGGGGCGCCTGGTGTCGTGGTGCCCGCAGCTGGAGGTCCTGGCGCACCCCTCCGTCGGCTGCTTCTTCACGCACTGCGGCTGGAACTCGACGGTGGAGGCGCTCAGCGCCGGCGTGCCCATGGTGGCGATGCCGAACTGGGCGGACCAGACGACGAATGCCAAGTATATTCAGGACGTGTGGCGTGTCGGCGTACGGGTGCGCCCGGATGCCCAGGGGGTGGTGAGGAGCGCGGAGATGGAGAGGTGCGTGCGGGACGTCATGGAAGGCGAAATGTGCAAGGAGTTTAGGAAGAGAGCTCTGGACTGGAGCGGCAAGGCAAGGAATGCCATGGGTGAAGGCGGTAGCTCGGATGTCGCCATCTCGGACTTCCTATCCTGTTTTGGACACTCCACTCGTGTGACTCCTGCCAACTGATTGATCATGTCCGGATCCACCGTTTGACGTCTCGTTCGTTGCTTATACGGTTTCACCTCTTAATATATACAAAGATATCCGCGTCTCTTATACATTTGAAGAGATGGTCGATACGTATGGAGGCTCTCGATCAATTTCCAGCGTATAAATTGCACCCCAAAATTTTGTCAACACAAAATGTAAATGGTTGTTTGGTAGGACGTGTGCAATATATAATTATATATACACTACCGGAGACGGTTTTTTTATCGAGTGTCCCAGACTTTGCCGAGTATTTTTTATCGGCCACTCGGTAAAGAGGCTGTTTGTCGAGTGCTAGAGAGAAAATACTCAGCAAACAACTGGCACTCGGCAAAAAGGTGGTTTACCAAGTGCCGAACACTCGGCAAAGACCAGGTTTGCCGAGTGTCAAACAATAACTTGCGCGAAGAGGCCGACTTCGGTTTCGCAAAACCTCCTCAATTTTTTTATCACATCCTCCACATATGATATCTTGACATCTTGACAAGTTTCATAATTTTCGGACTTCGTTTGCTTTTTATATAATTTAAAAACAACTCGATCGCAAATTCGTGATCATGTTTCGTGAATAAGATGTTCGAAATTGGTGGTCTGTTCCTGGATACGGCCTCACATCATACTAAATACCATGAATATCATTTTTCCATTTATTTTTTTTCATTATTCGAATGACTAGCAGTTATAATTTGAATTATCCAAGAAAATTCAATTAAATGAAATAAATTAAAGAAATATAGAAAAAGTCCGAGAAATGTGCCACATTGGAACATGGAGTACCAGGTATTGTCTGAGGACCGCAGAAAAAGTTTGGAGGTCAAAACTAAAAAAAATATGGGTTGTTGAGTGTCAAAAAATGACACTCAGTAAATGAGCCTCTTTGTCGAGTGTCGGGAGAAGACCTTTGGGCAAAAGGAGCCTCTTGCCAAGTGTCGAACCTATGGCACTTTCGGCAAAGAAAGATTTTTAAAAAATGAAAAAACCCCTCTTGCCGAAAGTGCGGTCTGGTGGTACTCGACAAAGAATTTTAAAAATTTAAAAACCCTCTTTGCGAGTGCCGGTCCGGGTGGCACTCGCAAAGAATTTAAAAATTAAGTTTTTTAAAACCCTCTTTGCCGAGTGCCTGGCCAGGTGACACTCGGCAAAGAATTAAAAATAAAAAAAACTTTGTCGATTGCCAGATCGGAGGCACTCGGTAAAGAGGGGATTTAACCTCCCGGCACAGCCGGCCCACACACACCGTACACACGCACACATGCACGCCCGCGCCAGCGCTCGCGCTCCCACCCACCGCGCTGAGGCCGGAGGAGAGAGGAGAGGATGGAGGAGAGGAAGAAGGAGGAAGGAAGGAAGAAGAAGGAGGCGCCCCGCCGCCGTCGCCCCCGCCGCCAGCCGCCGCCCCCGATGCTTTCCCCGCCGTCGTCTTGTCCACCGGCGCCTGGCCCCTTCACCGCCGCCCTACGACGCCCACTAGGTATGCACTACCGTCGTCGTCGTCATAGTATTACTAGTAGTTGCAGTAGTAGTGGTGGTAGAGTAGCAGTGGTGGTAGTCGTAGGAGTGGTTGTGACATTGTTGTATATATGTGGTTGGATATAATCTTGTGCTTGTCGGCCATCATGCCGTTCATATATATATGTGCATGTCGGTCATCGTGCGTTGGTTTTCTTGCAGGTTTTGGAAACCTCACCGTGCGAGGAGTCTTTGCCGAAATTTTGTATTGACAGTTTTATGTTTCTTTTTTTTGTAGAGAAGAACCCATCAGAGCGGAGCCGGAGCACCTCGGTGACCCTGATCGCCTTCCTCGCCGCTGTGGGTCTGCCTGCACCGCGTCGCCTCGCCACTGCACCGACCCGCCATGGGCCCGCTAGCCTAACTCCACTGCCACCCTAGGTATAACCCCTCTTTCTGTATCATGGTCGTAGATTACGTAACCTAGTTAGGCGTCACCCGTTCGAAAGAGATACGGTCGGAATGGAAGTAGACAATGAAATGGTTATTGAAGAGGACGCTGGACATGAGGTGCAAAATGTGAAGGACTTACAAATGCTTGAGCGATTACATTTAGACAATGACAATGACAACATTGCTCATTCGGATAGTGTTGATTATTTCGACATGATTGATAGTGATGATGAGACTTATGATCCAGCTAATCCCGATCATGAAGATTATTTCTAATACATGTAATACTATGTTATTTTGTAATTATGTTTTGTTTATTTTGCATCTATTTCTAAGTACTTCTTGTTTGTCTGTGCTTATTGGTTTACTCTTTTTAATTGCAGGTGATTGAACAAAGATGGTGGGCGGTGGGATGAGGAAGCTAACGTCCTTGTACCGAAGGACAAGAACCGCTGCACCGGGGGAGAGTAGGAGGAGGAGCAGCCGCAGGAGGGAGTCGTCGCCTGCCGCCCCATCGCGTGAGGAGGAGGAGGAGGAGCAGGTGCCCCAGAAGGACGCCGCGTATCCCCAGTGCTGGGAACAGATGGTGGATAGGTGGTGCTCACGCGAGTGGGAGGAGACGCACAACTTGTGCCGGGAGCGGTGTTTGATGATGACATGTGTAGCACACCATCAAGACAGCCGTAGCCTTAGCGGATACGCAGAAACATGGGTACGCAAATTTATTTATTTATTCTAACGCTCAATTCTGCATGATTTCTAATCATCTTGCATTTTTTCTCACAGTCGGCGTCACATGGTGGCCATCCTTGCTCCATCTTTAAGGCATTTGCTATGGCCCACAAGGGTAAGGCGACGTCCGACGTCGACTACAACTCGGAGGACGGGCCCGAGGCATACAGCAATGCGACCGTCCACAACCGCCTTAGTGAGTACACATCGATGGCAAGGGAGGTCCATGGGTCAGAGTACGATCTGAGCACCGAGGACCTTGATGGAGAAGTCATCATGAGGGTGGGAGGAGGCAAGAAGCATGGGTGGTACTGGATTGACGATGGCGCAATCGACTTGGCCACTACTCCCAGTCTCTCCCAGATTCAAGCAAGCAGCATGAGCAGGAGCCCGGCCATACGACCTCGGCAGGACACTTCACACCACCGAGTGGAGGCACTCGAGGTTATTCCTGGTTTATTCGTCGTTCATTGGTTTTTTCATACATTTCCTTTGCATTATTGTAACATTGGGGTGAATATATTGTAGGCCTAGCTAGAACAAGAGAGGAGGATACGTGAGCAGATGCAGGTGAAGATGGAGAGGGTGGAGGCCGAGCAGCAGAGGATGGCGGAGATTTTTTAGTACATGCAAAGTCTACGGGTGTAGCTCCGCCACCTTCGCTATTCGGTCCACCTCCACCTCCACCTCCTCACTATTCTACTCTTGTGAGTATAAATGTTTTAGTTTGTATGTTCATGCTTACGGTCAAACCTAGTGGAGTATCAAAGTTTTATTCATGTATGGTGTATATTTATCTTGTCTCACACATGCAATCTCTTCTGCTTTGTGTAGAATCAATCGGCGGCATCGAACGATCCTCATGCTTCAGCGAATCCTTCACCAAATCAGTGATGATACTTGTGGTTGTTAATGATACTTCTATTTGCAATTGTGGTTGAAGATGATGGAGCACTTGGATTACTTGTGAACTTATTTGTGATATATTGTGAGACATGAGACGTTTGTGATATATATGTGATGTGTGGTGTTGGTGATATATATGTGTTGTTGATGATATATATATGATGTTGGTGATGTTTGTTATATATATCTTCTGTTTGTTTGGATGGGATGTAAAAAACAAATAAAAAGGCTATTTTCAGTCACTTTGCCGAGTGCAATGGCCATGACACTCGGCAAAGTGGCTATCTCGGAACTATCTAGAAACATGCTTTGCCGAGTGCAAAGACCGTTGCACTCGGCAAACATCAGAGATTTGCCAAGTGCCATGGGACAGGCACTCGGCAAACATTACATACTTTGCCGAGTGTCTTTCTGGCGGCACTCGGCAAAGTGACCACCTTTGCCGAGTGTCTAAGTCAACGACACTCGGCAAAGCGAGGACCTTTGCCGAGTGCTTGACCTTGGCACTCGGCAAAGCCGCCGTCATGGTGGCGCTCGCCGTCACGGCCACTTTTCTTTGTCGAGTGTCGGATTAGCACTTGTCCGATAAAGTGCACTCGGCAAAGAGGTATTTGCCGATAAACTGTTTACCGAGCGCCCTTTGCCGAGTGTAACACTCGGCAAAGGATTCTTGAAATATATATCGGCCTTTGCCGAAAGTGCCCGAGGCACACTCGGAAAGAAGTCAATCTCCCGTAGTGATAGCATATAAGCACTCAAGTGATAAAAATTGTTAAAAAGCATAAGCTAATTGGCTCATATTTTATACTACTTTAATTTAAAAGTTTTAGTTTAACTAATCGGTGCATGCATCTCACAACTCAATATGATACAAGGACCAAAGATCTCAAATCTGAATCCAACTAGGGCAAAAACATTGTAGCCAGCTCATATATATTCAGTGGTTGACCCGGGGCCTAGTGACCTGGACCTATATATGGGCATGCAGCCTGAGGCACTGTGACCTAGCCCAAAGCCCGTTTTTGGCCCAGCATGAGCATGGCCCGGCCCGGTGCGGAGCAGCCCGGCCCAAGGAGCAGCCGCGTGCTCGGGCTTTACCCTAGGCACAATGTTTGGCTGGCCGGCCCGGTAAATGGACAAAGACCGATGAAGGGCCACTATGTCTATGGCCCAACAACAACTCCCAACGTGGCCCGTTACACTAACTCGGCCATTCCCACCCGTGTCCGCTATCTCGGCTGACTACTCGCTTCCCCTTCTGGGTGTCAAATCCGGCGCCTCCCTCTTCCCGGCGCAACACTTCCTTCGTGGCGGCCGCTCCTCCCCCCGGGGCCGCTCCCTCCTCCCTCGTGATCGCGACCTCTCGATCGTCTGGCGGATGGCCCGTCCTCCCTCTCACCCGCCGCCCTTGCGCGGAGCTGGACCATGCGACCTCGGCC